GCACTGTCAAAGCACCTGTGCAGGGCATGCATCCAACATTCCTGAGAACACAGCATGCGCACATATGAAAAGAGCTCTATATGGACCAACAAGACGTACAAACCTCTGATGCGCGAAACGCCAGAGATACAAATCAATGGTTCGGTCAACATAGAGAAGAACCATCGCTGGTTCATCACATAGGAATGCAGCTGGACAAACAAAGGGACAAACACGGACAGACCGATGGTGGAAAAATAGAAAGACAGATTAGTCGAACTCAACGGAGTTGTGTTATTTTTTTGTGGTGTGGGGCTTATACACTGGGTCTGTACCTACGCGGGTGCCTACGCCTGGGTTCCCCTCTCAAGCAAATGCCTACGCGAGAGGTTCTCTTTGTTAGGTGCCTACGCGGGATGCCTACGCAGGGTACTGTCACCAACTTGAGTCACATCAGGTGACTCGAAAAGAGCTATATAATCCGCAAGTAGTGGCCCGATGCGATTGGGTCACATCAGGTTCCTGTTTACATGGCGTTTACAGCTTTGCTACCGATGGCCAGATAGATTTTGTATCAAGCCGATCCAATTACAGCGTGGAAGCAGCAGCACATAAACAGCGCACATCAAGCAGAAAACAAGAGGCAGCAGCAGCAGCAGCAGCCAAGCAGCAGCAAAAGCAGCAGCCAATAGCTTCTTGCCTACGCGCTGCTCCCGCGAGCGCCTACGCGGGGCCTACGCGAAAATAGGTCCATTGATTATGGTACCAACAGGGTGCGCACAGTTGTAGCTCAAGAGCCGGTGTGCCAGACCAAGCACGATCAAGCTTTTGACCTCAAAAACCAATGTGCCCCCATAGCTTCGACAAACAAACTTCAAACATCCACTGTAGCCATGTCGTTACAATTCATTTTCATTTTCCTTCCCCACTGGAATTTGCAAGCAAGTGTCAAGTTAAACAACTACAAGCCAACATTATCTTTCCCCAAGACCCTTGAATAACTTTTACAGAAGTCTGAATAAGAAAATTCAGGCTTTCATGAAAAGGGTGCCTACGCAAGACTGCCTACGCAAATCTTTCAACACCCACCTACGCAAAATGCTTACACGACGCCTACGCCCCAAGCAGAACAGCCTCCGCGACTTCTCAACAGTTCCCTTTTTGTATAAACCTAATCATTTGCAAAAAAAACGTGGCAAGCTCCATCACAAGCATCCTTATTGTAACATCTTGCGTGTTCACATGAAGCAAATAAAGCGCTGGCATCACCATTTCTTGTGCATGGGGAGGCATCTAGATCTAGATATATCTAGATAATATGAGTAGAGATTGACAACAAAAATCAAACAAACAAAGACATAGATGCATATTGACTACAAAACATTAAGACCCCTTGCAATCAAACGTTCATATCAATGTCATCAACTTGCCTGAGACAATTGTTCATGAACCACGTCAATAAGTGAAGTTTAAGCGGGAACGACACTCAATAACATCCCTCTGCGAATACTGTACTACTTGGTGTTGAACACAAACCTGCTTCATAACTATTCCAATCCTTGCGTGCGATGAAACACGAACCTTATCCAGCCCCGGAACTCAGTTATATAGTTGAGTGGATACAGTGGATAGTGGGTGCCCCATCAATCGACTTTGAAACAGTCGGGCATACTGGCGCTGCCCTTCTGATCCTTCTGTTGGCCAGCTTCATCAAGTGCATGCCTATAGCTGGCTTCTTTGTTCGATCACGCTATTTCTGGGCGTGCAAGACTGCCAAGACTGTGGGAGTCAGTGGCTAGATACAGGAATTGAGAAACAGGTAAGGAGGGAAAGCAAAGGAACAAACAATCACGAGTTTAGTCAAGGCCAAAGCCAGCCTGGAGTTTGAACAAATTTCACATGCGCTGTCTGCCCATGTTGTCTGCGGATCGAGTGGTAGCCTGGTTGTCTCACAGAACAGATCTGTTCGAGACCGGTATCCAAGGTGTTACGCAAAAAAAGGTTGCGGCAAAAGGGAGCCCACTTGGGCCCTTTCACCAGCTCGTTGATCAGGACGGAATTCTGGTTACTTTTCTTCTTTCCAAAAGTAACTTCATAGGAAATCCACCTGAAAAGGGAGGGGACGAAAGCCAGCCTTTGTGCCAAGGGGGATGCCCTTAGGGCGAGGCTGGCGTTTCCAGGCATGGCCGTTTTTTTCGTTTTAGGTGAGGGGTGTGTTAGAGGGCAAAGTGGAGAAAGAGTAGTGGTGAAGTTGACATCGCAGCCACTCTCATAGGAGGTAGAAATGGAAAGTATAGTGCATAGGTTTGGGGGTGCCCTTTTTTTGTCGTGGTTCGGGCTCGTTTTGGAGGTGGAAAAGGGCACCCTGGACGGAAGTGAGGGGTGGTGGCTTGCTGTGTGGTGCCAATCAGTGAGCAAAGATGGCTATGGGGGGTCGAGGGGCCAGGTTATCGGCAGGCTTTCGGGAGGAAACATATATGTACATAGGTAGAGTGGAGAAAGAGTAGCCGGAAGTGGTGAATTTGACCCAGTAGAAACAGAAAGTATAGTGCGCAGGTTCGGCGGGGGTGCCCTTTTTCGTCCTGGTTCGGGCTCGTTTTGGAGGTGAAAAAGGGCACCCTGGAAGGAAGTGAGGGGTGGTAGCTTGCTGTGTGGTGCCAATCAGTGAGCAAAAATGGTTATGGGGGCCGAGGGGCGAGGTTATCGGCAGGCTTCGGGAGGAGACATATATGTATACAGGTAAAGGGCTGGAAGTGATGAAGTTGATATTGCAGCTACTGGAGCGCGCGAGATGAAGGGAGTGGCTGACATCGGGCAAAGCATACGTTTAGGTGGACCACTGCATTACATGAACTCGTGCACCATATGGGGCGCCCGTTTGCGTATAGTTGACAGGCATTGACAGGCGTCTTCACCATTAAGAAAGGGCACCCCCCAGCAACTCTACTGTAACATTTCTTGCAGGCCCTCTTTTCCTACCACATCCTCCTACGCTATGCCTGGCTCCCCACAGCATTTTGGCTCCTCACAAATTCTGAGTGTCTGAAGAGACACGCACCTCCCTTTCACCCCTGGTCGAACACTATTGCACTGGCCATGAAAGGCGCGCGTCTCCCTTTTCTGGAGTTCCAACCACTGTCCCGTTGTCTCCTCTTCCCTATCGTTGACATGAGTCTTTGTCTGTAGTAGACAACTCGTGATGCTAATGATGCACTACTGGCCGTCAATTACATCACCGGCATCGCAACACCCCGAAAAACTACTCATTTTCACTAACAAGTGGCCACCTCTTTTTTTTTTTCGCTCCTTGACCAGGGTCTGGGTCAGCCTCTCCGAGATTGCCCCTCTCGCAACCACAACCCCCACACCCCCTTTACTCACTTCGTTGGCATAGCTACCTCAAGCCTTGCCTATCGGCTGGCTTTTACTATTTACTTTCATTACTTTTTTCTCTGATTTTTGGCCGCTTCCAACATGTTCCTGCCAAGCCAAGCTTCCGTATTCGTTGCAAGGATTTTGTACATATGGTTTTGCATTGTTTGCAAGGTCTCACCAAGTGGTCCACTCATTAGCCTTTCAAGGCTGGCTTGGAACAAAACCCCAGCGAAGGGAGTGATCAAGGAAAGGGAATATTGCGGGCTTCTAAACCAAGCGTGCGGGTTGGTCAGCTTTTCTGATCTTTTCTGCGCACAGCTGATTGTATTCCCAATCCGTGTTTCAGTGCATTCTTCAGCGTGACGGTAACCAGTAACCCTTCAAAACTACCTTTTGTAAAGGTCTTAGAAACAGTGCCACTTCTGGCTTCGTATTTCAACTTGCACTGCGCACACTCCAGGGTGGTAACCATTCGAAGAGGTGAACTGCAATCAATTGTGGTCGCGACCTACAGGCAGGAACAAATTCAAGCAAGACAGTCGCTGTGGAACCACGCAACAGCAGCAGGCTTTCCATGTTTGGCACACATGCAAGCACCTCTTTTCTCATCCAACTCTCAGTAGTGCGGTTTTGACGAATCATGAATAATCCAAAAAAGCAACTGAATCTAAGCGTTCAAACCCTCAAAACGCCCTCGGCCTTAAGGCCTCAATGCTCAAGCAAACTTTTGCAATCGTTTGCAAAGGGGTGGGGCGTCGTGATGGGACACACGAAGCTAAGAAAACGCCCTCACTGGCTTTTGCAGTGAACCAGTGCGAATTTTTGGATACCTGGTGCAAAACAACAGGTTTTTTTTTTCTTTTTTTTTTCTGGCACATTTTGTTGCGTGAGATCATTTTATGTAATCTCTACCGTATACAATTGGCACGACTGCTTTGTCAGGCAGCTTGTAAGGCCAGTCAGCCAGTCAGCATAGTTTTAACGTCTCCGAAACTGTTTGGTTGGACTTTCAGTCCTAATCCAGCAAATGGAGCCGTGCACCTTTGTGCAGTACTGATAGCTGGCCGGTCTGATGCGCAAGAATGCACTAGTGTCACTAGCGCTTGGAATTGGAAATAAGGGTGAAACGGCAAAGATGCAGCTCATCTCGGGGAAAATGCTGCGCAATTGACCGTGACAAGTGCTGCAACTTCTATCTGTACCGCAGGTCGGCAAAGCCCAATGCAATGCTGCTAAGGTGCAATCTGCAAAAACCGCCGTGCTTTGTTGGTGCTTACACTTCCTCTGAGCGCCCAAGAATAGTTGGTTCCAAACTGTTCTCATCCTGCGCAAGAAACATGAGCATTGCTTGCCACGACAAACATGCAAGTTGAACATAGAAATGTGCTCCAGATTCTTGATAGGTGGCATGTCAGTGTTTGAACAACCCTCTGCAGCAGAACCTGCCTGAGATGGAAGGGCCGTTTCAGTGGTTCGCACCTCTATTCCACGATCGCCTGCACACCAAGGCTGGGAGGCACGGCGTAAGTAGTGTGAAGTCTACAAAGTTGTGAGCTTCCATATCTTTCCATTCTGTGAGAGTTTGGAAACCCAAAACCAGTGCCAGGCATTGTGCGCACACTTTCCCTGGTGTACTGCAAACTAGATCATTTCCATAGTAGCTGGTCATCTACTTCCCTCTTACCACCAAAGCCTGCTTGTTGGGCGGCGAAGCGTCGCTGGGCCAGGGTTGGGTTTGGTATCTCCTGAGTTTGATTGTGTCAAGCTTAAAGACATAGCCCATGACAACCCCACCAGAATCCAGAAACTTCATGAGTCTCCAAAACTCACAGAAAAACTAACTTCTCGGAAGAAACTACAACTATATATATATATATACATACACACAAAGAATCCTAAGCTCAAAGCAATTGGGCATCGCAGCGGACAGGTAGGAATACGTGCGAGCCAGCTGTCCACGCACTCCTCTGCAAAACCGGCAATCGTCTTTAGGTGCTCGCTTTTGACCATCTTTCAAGAACCAACTGTTTTCAGAATCACACGATGGAGTATCGGACCTGGTGGAAGCCGTGCGTGCAAGACAAACGTCTCATTTGTTCCCCAATCACAAAGGGCTCAAGGCAAATGGGGCATGTAGGCTCTTCGCGAATGCATTCCCGTTCACTCTCCACCTGACATGGAGACATGGAGGGCATGGAGTCCCCCCCAAAAAATTGAACAAAAACACAGGTTTCAAAGATGACATGCACTTAAGTCTGGGATTCTAAGTCTGAGTGGCCCCAATGATTTCCAGATCAGAAGAAATCTGCTGCAGCTGCTCCTCCGAAAGCCCTGGTGATGGTATATCTTGCAGCCGAGCATGCACGAGGACTGTCCACCGTATGCGGAGTGCCAGCGGCATGACAAGTCTGCTGCAAAATGTCATCGTCAGCAAGCAACATAAAAATGATGAGGTAAAATTAAACGCTTCACACGGTGCAGCTTCCTCAGCCATCTCCCAGAAAAACATTTCAGAGTATTGGCTGCAGGGTAAAGCTGCAAGGCACCAAAGAACATTGCAAAAATACCATGGAAGAAGGACAGCTGAAATAGCACCTGGAACCGCTGGAAAGCATACCGCAACATAAATACAACAAAATAATGTTCAATCGGAAAAAATTCAAGTAAGTGGGAGTAGCTACTACTACTACTACCACCACTACTGATACCACTACTGCCACTACTACTGCTACTACTACTACTGCTACTGCTACGACGACGACGACGACTACTACTACTACTACTGCGACTACTACTGCTACTACCACTACTACTACTACCACCACTACGACTACAACAACAAAAACAACAACAACAACAACAACTACTACTACCACTACTGCTACTGCTACTGCTACTCCTACTACTACTACTACTACTACTACTACTTACTACTTACTACTTACTACTTACTACTTACTACTTACTACTTACTACTTATACTACAACAACAACTACTACCACTGCTACTACTACTACTACTACTACTGCCACTATCTACCACCACTACCACTACCACTACTACTACCACCACTACTACTACTATTACTACTACTACTGCTGCTACTACTACTACTACCACTACCACGACGACGACGACTACTACTACTACCACGACTACTACTACTACTACTATTATTACTAATACTATTACTATTACTATTACTACTACTACTATACTGCTACCACGACTACTACGACGACGACGACTACTACTAGTACGACTACGAGTACGACTACGACGACGACGATGACTACTACTACTACTACTACTTCTACTACGCTACCACTACCGCTACCACCACCGCCACTACTACTACTACTACTACTACTACCACTTACTACTTACTACTGACTACTGACTACTGACTACTGACTACTCACTACTTACTTACTACGACTACTACTACTACTACCACTACTACTACTACTCCTACTACTACTACTACTACCACCACTACTACTACTACTACTACGACTACCACTACCACTACTACTACTACTACTGCTACTGCTACTGCTACTGCTACTGCTACTGCTACTACCGCTACTACTACTACTACTACTACCACTACTACTACTACCACTACTACTACCACCACTACCACTACCACTACCACTACTACTACTACTACTACCACTACCACTACTACGACTACTACTACTACTACTACCGCTACTACCACCGCCGCTACTACGACTACGACTACGCCCGCGACCGCCGCCACCACTACCACCACCACCGCCACCACTGCTACCGCGACCACTACCTCCCCACTAATCCACGCGCCCCGCAGTGCCCTTGCCGACGTAGCCGTTTTAGCCAACCTGCTGCCAAGCCAGGGCGCCTTTTGCAGCTCTTTTTCCCTGTCTAGGACGCACGTGGGGTTTACTTAGGCTGGCCCGTGGCACCGCTGTCAAGTCAGTATGCGTTTCTCTGAGTGTGTCTCCCCTAGTGAGAGCCCAGGGTGACCCTGCAGAGTGGCCCCTGTGGACTCGTCGAATGGGTGTTTGTCTTTATCTCGCCTGCCCGGAGATGTACGTGCCCAGATTGGCGATGGATTTTGGCCATGGAAGGAATGGCCGTGGATATGGAGATGGGAATGATGGCGATGGAGATGGGAATGGAGATGGAAACGCAGAAGAAGAGGATGAATATAGAATATCAGTGTAAGAATCACGACCGCGCGTCGGCCGGCGCAACGTCAAGACATGGACAGGGTGTAAAGTTCCAACGCTCCACCTGAAATGGTTGCGCAGCTGTGTCGTGCAATCCTTTTTCCAACTGTACCATGGCGGAAATAGTGCTCGACATGCCCCCGCCAACCACTTCCCTACTGGTGGCTCATCACTGCCGTCGCGAAGGTGGCGTATCCGCTTTTCTGTACTTTATCCCGTCCAAGGATGTGGTCGCATGCTAAGTAGTGGGACGCTCTCCTCCCAAGCGTGTTTGGATGCGCCCCTTGATCTGGTTGGGAGCAAAGATGCCAGCGCGCAGGAATCGAGGTTGGGTGGTCTGACCCACACCAAGATCAGGAAGAAGGCTACAAGCCCTCCAAAGTTGAGGCCGCACCAAGAGAAAAGGCATCTCATTCCACACAGTTTTGAAGCCTGCCGTCAGCTCTTTGCGATGGGCCTGCTACTTTGGAAGAAACACTGTGAGGGCAATGGGCGTCGATGTCAAAATCTGCTATGATTGCCTTCATGTCTTCATGTTTTCGACAAAGACTCACAATTGGATAGGCAAACTTTTGAATCATGTCCCCTCGAGTTGATAAGAAGGTAGTGAACATGTTAGCTGTGAAGTAGCAATTCACATTGGATAAAGACTTTCATCGAAGGATTTCCTGAAAGAGAATTGCCTCAGATTCTTGCAATTGTGGAACGTCTGGGAGACAGTTCTCAGTCTCTTCCCAGCAGGTGGAAATCCAATCCAAACTTTCACACGCGCAACGTTGGGCAGAACGTATGGATAGGCAGGAATGTTCTGACCCGAGCCAGGAATTGGAAACAACCCCAGTAAGGAACCGAACCGCCTCCGAATCGCCACCGAAACGAATCGCTCAAATCGAGCCGCGAGTTGAAGTGGGATTGAAGGAATCAACAGCAAAGGAATCGAATCGCGCTCGAGCCGGTTATGGGGTGACTGATTTGGCGTGCGTGCGTCCCTTGTAGTCATAGGGATCCACTCGGATTGCGCTGATTGCGTTTCAATTTTGTTGAGCAGGGGGACACAGCGCCAGATGACCGTGTCTAACAAAGCTATGCAATCTGGTGGATATCCAGCTTGGCCAGCTGGACGTACCATGACGTACCTGCAAATTTTAATCCTTTGGTAAAGTGCTAATGCATCTGCAGTCACGCACGGACCGTCGTCACCTTGTCGAGTTTCCGCAGTTCGAGCTCGTGGACTTTGGAGGTTGCTTGGGAGGTTCTTCAGTTACCGCCTAACCTGAACCCTTAGGCGTTCAAACCTAGGTGGGCGTGTGGCATGTGGCATTCGAGTCAGTACGCATTTGAAAGCGTGTCTCTCCTAGTGAGAGCCCGCAGAGTGGCCCCTCTAAAAGCCCGTTGAACGGGCATTAGTCGAACGTATCCCCTTGCCCGGATACAAAGCTGCTCGCAGCGAGCGTAGGTGGCCTAGGCCGAGAGAACTCAGAATTCTGTCCCATTTATTGAACTCCGAGCTGGCTCATGCTTTTGCGTGACCGCAGCGGTCAAAGCAGCCAGCCACTTCGGCAGGGCACAAGTGACCGCAGCGGTCAAAGCAATTCTAGGGTCCATTGGGACCCGTCGCCGCCTCAGGTGCACACGCAGCGCATACGTGTTCAACGAAGTTCGCCTACGTTTTCTAACGAGTTTGGGCTCATTGTTTTTCGTCCCCTCCATTTGGTTTTCCTTTTCATCCTTTCCCCCTTCACACGCTTTGTTTTCCTCTTTTCTTGCATGTCCCTCTGTCTTCATGTTCTGTCACCTCATCCTTTCTTTCGTTTGCGCGCGCATCGGTCCTGGCCTTAGTGTGTACGCGCGCATTTACATACACTTCAAACCTAGGTTTCAGGTCGCCCAGGTGTTGACAATGAGGTGGGGTTCATCGGTTGTCCCTGTGCATTTGGTTCCCCTTTCATCGCAACTACGTACCTCTTTGTCCTGTCTTGTCTTCTCTTCGTGTCTTCATCCTTGCCTTTTGTCTTTGCTGCGTGCACAGGTGCGCATTGTCCTTACCTTAGTTTTTCTCGCCGCCTTTCGGGGAGGCGTGTGTGTGTGTGTGTGCCCCTTGTAGTCACAGGGATCCACTCGGATTGTGCTGATTGCGTTTTAATTTTTTGTTGAGCAGGGGGACGCGGCGCCAGATTGCAGACCGTGTCTAATAAAGCTATGCAATCTGGTGGGATATCCAGCTTGGCCAGCTGGACGTACCTGCAAACTTTAATCCTTTGGTAGAGTGCTAATGCGTCTGCAGCCACGCACGGACCGTCGTCACCTTGTCGAGTTTCCGCAGTTCGAGCTCGTGGACTTTGGAGTTTCCTTGGGAGGTTCTTCAGCTACCGCCTAACCTGAACCCTTAGGCGTTGAAACCTAGGTGGGCGTGTGGCGTGTGGCATTCGGGTTGCGTGTGTGTGCGTGTGCGTGCGCGCGGCTCCCCGCCCCGATGAGCCTCACAAGCACGCGCCAAGCTGGAGAGAAAGGTGACGAAGTTTGCCAGGGCTGGGGCTTGAGCCCGGGCGTTCTTTGGAGGGCGTGTTTCGGGGCGCTCATTCGTGGGGCGGCGCGTCCTCCAGCCCACAGCTGCCCCACCAAGCCCCCATGCATAAAAACGGCCTGTTTTGTCAACTTTGGGGCTGTCTTGGCTCAGGTTCCCCTTCGAAAAACAGCCTGCGTCGATCCGTTTGGTTGCTTTTGGCCCCGGCTCTTCTTCGCGGGGCGCGTGGGTGGCCACATGCAAAAATACGGCCCAAGTCGGCCATCTAATTGTTTTTAGCGCACGCTCTCCTTCGGGGCAATGCGCCGGGCCCGTGTCTGGCGCGCGCGACACGAACAGGCGAGCAGTGGTTTGTTCTATGCGTTGGTTTGTGTAGTATTGAATTCAAAGAAAGCGCAACTCTGACAAGTGTGTGTGTAACCCTTGTAGTCGCAGGGCTTCTTTTGAAGTTTGATGGATGACACTCACAAATCTTGAAGTGTACCATGTTGTTGCAGTTGAAAGGATTGATACGCACAAATCTTGAAGTGTACCATGTTGTTGCAGTTGAAAGGAATGACACGCACAAATCTTGCAGTGTACCACGTTGTTGCAGTTGAAAGGAATGACGCGCACAAATCTTGATGTTTTTCATAATGTTGCAGTGCAACCTTTGGAGTCACAATCGTGTGTGTTTTCTTTTTTCGCTGCCTTGTGTCTTATGGGCCCTCTAACCTATTGCGCAGGCCTCCAACCTTGTCGCTATGGCCTCTTTCTAAAATGTTGCAGTGCAACCTTTGGAGTCACAATCCGTTTTCGGTTTTGTTTTGTGTGTGTTTTCTTTTTTCGCTGCCTTGTGTCTTATGGGCCCTCTAACCTATTGCGCAGGCCTCCAACCTTGTCGCTATGGCCTCTTTCTATTTGTGGTACCTTTCTAGTAGTTGGCTTGCCGGTTGCCCTTAGGGCCGGCGCGTCCACTCTGCTTGGCTGGATGCTTTCCTATCCAGTCAGCAGAGTTGGGGTGGGCATAGCTGCTGCTTGCTGCTTGCTGCTGCTTGCTGTTGCTTGGGCCTCCAAACTTAGGCGCTGACCTCCAACTTCTAGCGTCGGCCTCTACTTTAACTTTAACTTACCTCGTTTTCAAAGGTTTTTACTTACTTACCTCGTTTCCTAAGGTTTTTTAACCTAGGCCGGCGAGTGGATATCCATAAGTGTGTGTCAACCCCTGTACCTAAGGGTTCCACCTTGTTTTT